ATATTAAGTTATTAATATCGAGGAAGTTAGACATGTCTATTAGAAGCAATAAATGGTGGAGGGCGGTTCGCCACTAAATGGTTTCCAGCGCGTGCTATTAAGCTTCTACCATGCTACAAAGCTCTACACGCTGCACCGCAACACGTCGTCTGTCAATTTAATTCACTTAGCTTATTTAGTGCATTTTCACACGCGTCGCGAAAATTTAGCGAGCACGTGTCAATGCTTAGCGACGTTCAAATTTCTGAGATTAATAGATTTAGTAGCTTGGTCTTTGCCTGGACTAAGAAATATTACATTGATTAGTTTATTATGTATACCATAAACAAGATTTATTATGAGTCATTAAGAGATACATATGTTAATGTACATAAGAGCTTTTTGCCTTTATTTCGGACACTCAAAAAGTGATGATCATAAACAAGACACTCTAATGGGCAATTGGTTGATATATCTTTACAGAATATTACATAATGTCATACAAAATCAAATTATTTATTTAAAAATAGAGATTTCTTACAGTAAGGACAAAGGAAGACAGACAAACATGAAATTAAATTTTCGGAAAGTGATCCAACGAAAACGGCACAAATTTCAACCTTTAAAGAGATTACAGGCAATATTTAAGTAATCTATAGTTAAATAAATAGTAATTTCGTACTAAAACAGATAGGTAGACTATAAAGAACATTCTCCTAATAAACCTTGCATCGCATAATAACATTGGTGCATCAGCTCTTGTTATCGTGTTTCAACTCGATTGCACACTGACCATACATACAGTCGTCCATCATAACGATATTGTGCTTACACCAACAATATTGTCTCGTTTTACACCTGAAACTCAAGCAATAATACTCTATAATGCATACACAATAAGGTTCATATCATTATTACGGGACAAATCAATACAACCCTCGACCCGTAATGTTTAACGCATTGCTAAAGCTTTTGTAGTGTATTTTTAACCAACAGCTAAGTATAAGGGAAGTGTAATGATTTCGTCATACTATGTATGTATTTTTCAATATCTACTAGTGAAATAAAGTAATAATTACGTGGTCTAACGTATATAGTCGAATAAATTTTAATTTGGAGCAAAATCTGTTCTGAAAATCAACAGTCATCTTTTGGATATTTACTAAATAGAATCTTATTATGTTCTCAAATTATAAAAATTTTAAGTAACAATACTTTAATAAATTAAAAATAATTCTGACAAGGTGTAAGGAATTTTCTTTTGGTCATCTTTTCATTTAATTCGTTGCTGTCAAATATCGGAGGCCCTTAAAAATCGGCATTGTTGCTTATATCAATTGTGGTTAGCAAGGTAAGTGGTTCATTTTCCCGGTTTACTTTGTTCTCTGTACACATTTCTACTTTGTTTAATCAATCTTTCTTGTGTTGACTGTTTTTGCCCGTGGTGTTTTGAGATTTCGAAATATATTGTTATTTTTTTAAAATAAATGTAATAAAACTAAAGTAACAATTGGGAGCAATTTTCAATTTATCAAGCGAATTAATATTTGAATTTGTCACACTCTGTCTCAAACATCGAAAGGCTGTATTTGTTGTGTATCCAGCTAATCGGCTTACGATCACACTCTCGCCCCATTCAAGCGATCCTTTTGCAACTGAATCGAAGGCGTTTGGAGAATTCATCGAAATTAATTCTCAGTTTGTTTGCCCATTGTCGAACTACCGACGGCCAAAGCTTTGTGTATTTATTTAATAACGACATCTTTTTGAATAGTTCTCAATCAATGCGCGGAGGCGTTAGCTCTTTGTTCGAGTATTTATCAAAATGTACACGCCTTCAAGCGTAGGTAGTTTAATCTCACGTGTGAATATCGAAAATAATAATGACTGAGGTTTTTTTTATACATGCTCTACAACAGCAATTTAACTCTTGCTTATGTAGTTTATGAAATATTTTCATGGTTCTGGTGTGTAGTTGTATTAGAATATATAATTACGACAATTTTCGGATAAAGGAGTACGTATAAATTGAATAAATGCAAATACATTGAAGTGTGACACAGTGAAATAACGGCTCATTGAGTTTTCGCTTTTTAAGTGTTTCTTTAAAACAAATCTAGTAAACCATTACTCAAATACTGTCTGTAGTTTACGCGAATAGTACACATTGAAATAAATAACTTTAACGGCTTGAAACTCGGGATATATCAGTTAAGCTTATTTGAAATTAATTTAACTACAGCCCGACGTTTCTTGTAAAGCTGCTGCAAAGCACCCGAAACGTAGTATATATCGCGTTTTAAGCCGTTAAAGTGCTTTATTTAAACAATTACTCACTGAAGAAGTGACTAAGTATCTTTAAGAGGTAACGTTTATTTTTAATCTATGTGTGAAAAACATCGGAAAGTGACATTTAATAAAACGAAATAATTATTAGAGTATTTCATATTGACAATTTTAATATCGATTCAAATTTAAATTTCGAATTATTTAAACACACACACACTTGAAGGTTTTTATAAAATTATTACACTAAATAGATCAGGTGTAAAGAAACATGTTAGGTACCAGCAAGTATGTCAGCAATCGGGTCGCGGACTATCTCATCGGCAGCCAGTGATAAGATAAGCCCTACAGCAAATATTTAACCGGTAAACAATGGTCACTCACCACCTCGTTCTAATTTGCTATAAGCCACGTTTAATCCACCATACTTGATGAAAACTTGGATCTAAAGTTTTAGGTATTCTTCGAATCAAAACAAGGTTTACAGTTAGTTTTTTAATTGAGTTCTTTTATAGTACGACCATATAAAATATCTTGTCAGAGTTTAAATTGTGTTACACCTGCTACATTTATTTACCTACTTTACCTTGTTTGTCTTAAAGTGTTAATACTATTTTGTATTTTTACCTTTTAAGTAATATTTGTTAGTAAATGTTATTAAACGCAAAATGTCGATGTCTCTCATCGTCTTTTGTAAAACTTTCGTGTATTTAACTACATTTTTTTGGCGTTTATCAAGTTTGATATGTAAAAACCTTTAAATAAAACACTTTAACTGGACGGCTGCAAAGTATCCGAAACGTCGGGTCGAAGTTAAAAATCATTTTCAATTAAGTTTAACTAATATATTAGTTAAACTTAATTATATTAAATTACAAACGGTACTTTAACGGTTTGAAACGCGATATATCGCGTTTTAAACCGTTGAGGTGTTTTATTTAAACTTGTACTACTTGCGTAGACTATATACTGTCGTATGTAAAAACCGATGACCGAAGACCATTAGGACTTGGCCGTTTTTTTAAATACATTTTTGTGTCTTAATCCTGGTCGGGGTGGAAAAAGGAAAATAATGGTTTCTTTTTAATACTAAGATAAACATTAATTCTTCTCTATCACAAATAACTAGGTACTAGCTTTTATTTGTATACAATATGGTAACACTACAATTCATTTAAAAAGAGTTGTAGTTTAATTCTGTTTATAAAATTGTAATTTTGTGTAGACCTTTGAAATAGTTTTACTCAGCGCTGATAGTACTTATAGACTCCCAATGTTACACCCAGAATTTGTTAGGCATTTTAATATTATGCGATCAATATAGCTTATAATACGAGCCAAATACCTACAATTTTGAATACAAAATGCAGATTAGTATCTAGCGAATAAGACCTAAGTTGGAAAATCCGTTAAGATCTCGATAAGATAATATATTGTAGCGACTTTTGTCAGGCAATATTACAAGTAAAATATTGCAAGGCAATGTAATGTATGTCTTGGCTGACTAGGATCGAATAAATCAAGTACAAACAAAAACAAATCAAAATACTTTGTAATACCAACAATAACCAATTACAGATGTGTTTGATAATCATGATGACATTAAAGTAACTTATTGTTTAATCGATCCGACGATTCGGAAGCTATAAAGCAACGATGGTCAAGGTTATTCAAAGGTGGTTAGAAGTAAAAACAAGTTGAGTTTCAATCAGTTTAATACTCAATAATAATAATTTATATTTAACACTTTACAAACACAGTTTCGGGGCTATTCAAGTTTTGAATACATCGCTAGAAAACAGTGGCACTTACAAAACTATTGCGAATAGTCGATAGATACCCCCAGCGATTTTATGTACACAATATACAAATTTCCTACACCTATGTACTACACGGCCATAAATATAATTCTCTTTGGAATATACATAAATAACTAATCTAGGCATAATTCAACCGTTTAATACTGTATCTTACACCTATATATTGCAATCTGATAGAATCTGGTCATTATCAATATAACCTTAACTACTTACTATACTTGTCTTTTATACAAATACTGAAGTGGAATGTATAAAGTTTATGAAACTAAAGTAGACTATTATAAAGCATAATTATGAATTCTAGCACGAACACTTCTAAAACCGTATGATTCTCTAATTAACGAACATGATATTACGTTGTAGAAATAAAATAATAGGAACTGTCGGCACCAATAATTTTGGCAGAAAAGTAATTTAAACTTATTCGAGCAATAATACTTATTAACGAAGCTGTGTCTCCGTTTGAACGTTTAAAATTTTGACACGAACGCAGAATGTATCCATTAATGCTGTTTATTTCACTGTTAACTTATCAGATGTCATATAAACCAATTGTATGAATCAGACAGATAAGGCGTTACCGCTGTCACGTATACCGTAATAAGGCTGTGGTCTCCTAAAAATGCCTGGATATACTTGGACAAGCTATTATATCCTATAGTCCAATGGGTACTTCCATACTTAAAAGACGAGTTTCGTTCAAAATGATTTAAAATAACTAGAGATAACTGCACAACGTCAGTGTGCGAAAGAGACAACAACAGTACATTTCTATAAGTTATCTAATACGTGGTGTATCGCGCGACGTTTTACGCTACCACACTTCTAGGAGACCAAAGCCTAAGTGAGACACACAATTGTAAAACCGATACTAAATAATAAAGACTAGTTACCACATTAATGCATTGGCTAATTTCACCACCAGCAGCCGTTTGGTTGTGGTGGGTGTCCCGTGGGTTGGTGCATAGGTTGGTACGGAGGAAGAGACATACCCAAAGGGGGCAACCCATCCGGCTTACCGAGACATGGCCTTCCATCCTTAACAAGGACAGGTACAGCGACCCGCCGTGGTGAATTTAAACCTCCAACGTTCAAGTCGTGCGCGCCCTTTTCTTGCACAGCCCGTTTCGTTTTATATCTGTGGTTTTGAAACCATATCTTGACTTGGGTCGGCGTTAATCTTATCAGGCTGGCTAGGTGTTCTCTTTCTGGCGCCGATAAGTATCTCTGCTGTCTAAATCTTCGTTCCAGCTCGTAGGTCTGCGCTTTTGAGAACAACACGCGCCGTTTACGCTTCTTGTGGACCAAATTTGTATCGCCGCTGTTGGGTGGTTGGTCGTGGTCGTCATCGTCGTGCTCGATGATTTCGTGGTCGTCGTGGTCATGGTCGTGGTCGTGATCGTGACGTGGACCGGTGGTGGGGGACGTGGCAGATGGACCGACGTAGGACAGTTCTGAAGCCCTAGAAGTGCTGTCTGGACTGGCTTGTTGACCGAGGGCACCTACGACAAAAAAATATTATTATTGACAATATTATAAAATATACGAAAGGATGTAATTCAACTATTATTTCTAGTACAGTATTAAAATAAAAAATATTAGAAATTAATTTAATTATGTTTCTATCTATGTGTTACTATTAAATAGGATAGACAAGCAAGGCACTTCACTTGATAAAAGGAACCCCTATGATGTAATACATCAACCATGTAATATAGTTAAGTTTACAAGATGCGATGTTCGCCTATTTTGGATTTGACAATTTTCTGACGGTAGTTGGTGGCGTGGACGGAAATTCGATATTGTGACATAATAAGTGCAAATCTAAATATTGAACTAGGTACAAAAGTCCTGCGCAAATAGCGAATATATTACATAAAAGAGTCAATTATTCCCGCATTACTCTTTGTTCAATACATACTCGAGTTAGTAATACGATGTGCGATTCTACATGTAGTGGTAACACTCACAACTAAATCCCGGTTAATCCGTGTCGCTTTAACCTAACTAGAGTTCGGATATGAAAAAAAATCATTGTTCAGAAACCCCTCTATTGAAAGCTTTCACACGAATATGTTAATGTTAGGCGGGAGGCTTGGGCGTGTCGCGAGGGTTCGCTGGGAGGGGGGGCCACTCCCAACCCCCTGGCAGCTGGCTCAATTGTTCTCTTGAATAATAGCGTTCAGCGACCTAAGTATCTTATTATATGTATCTTTGTTTCAACAAGATGGCTACTTAGAGTGAATTTATATTGCGGTTTTAGGAGCGTTGATTAAATACAATTAAAAATCACGGAATGCTAAAGTTAAGTAACTAAAATCTTATCATATTAACATTAAATAAATTAATACATGGTAGACCATGGCGTACTAGGTATAATTTTTTTATCCTAGTAGATTTTAGAAATACTTATACATGTTACAAATACCTATGTAACGTAATTTGAAACATTGAAATAAATTTTTGAGTAAGGGCATTAAAAAATACGAGAAACATATATTTCAAAAGTATAAAATATTGTATGAAGTATGAAATAAAATATATTGATCGTTAAACTATTTATAACAACCCAGAAAGAGAAGCGACATCTAAACAATACAACAATAAAATCTATAAACGTCATCGAATAATGAACGAATGGGGCCCCTAACAGCCGCAAACAATGTAATTGATAGCCCACAGCTGCTCACGAGGTATCTATTGGTGACAAATTTGTTCCACATCGCGCCCCACAGCAAAGGTTAAATCTGGTAGCCCCGAGAAAAATAAGGGCGTGAACCCCGTTTAGCGATTGGCAAAGTCGCTTTGTTTGCCTGCGTTCCACCATGTTTGGAAATTGCTTCACCTGAAGCTGTATAACGGTAGTTAGTCATCAGATTGTTTAACACTACTATTTTAAAAGGCTATATGATCTATAATTAAGAATTAATTTAAATAAAACACTTTGACGGTTTAAAACGCGATATATTAGTGAAACTTATTTGAAAATGATTTTTTACTTCGGCCTAATGTTTCGGATGCTTTGCTTTTATGCTGTTTGTTGGGATCCAGAGTGTTTAAAACTCAGGATCCCAATAAACAGCATACCGGCAATCGCGAACACAGCGTTTGTCAATTCTGTAAGGATAGGTCAGACCGGCCAGTTTTGCCAAATACCAACTACGACGGAACAGATCGCGCTAGCGTAGCAATTTTTACATTGACGTCAGAGAAATCCCCCATCTTTAGTCTCCCCGTGACCACGGCTGCTGCAAAGCATCCGAAATGTCGGGCCGAAGTTGAAAATCATTTTCAAATAAGTTTAACCAATATATCGCGTTTTAAACCGTTAAAGTGTTTTATTTAAATGTGTACTACTCGCGTAAACTATAGACGGCATATAATTAAATAATTTTATAAATTACATTAAGAATTTTAGTATATCCACGGCAAAATAAAGCAAAAGGAATATGATTAGTTTAAAAGAATCTTGTATATCTAAATTTGATAATCTCTAACACTACACCAATAATATTTTAACTATTTCAAATAGATTGCGTTTAGTTATCATAGAAGCTTTGGATTTATTAAAATTGTATACCACGCAGAAGAACACCAATGCCTAACGTGTTGTTCCTTTGGCTACTGTAAAAACAGGCTTTAATTCTTATCTATATTAATAATTATAATTTTAAAAGCTTTTAAGATAAATTGACAAAAAAGATTTTGTTACCCAGCTAGCAAATAGATCAATGACCGCCGATACGTAAGTCGTAATTATTGTTTTATCTACATGAAAATCACGACAATCACCAAACCACGGATTAAGTGAATTGTACAAGCAATCAAGTGTAAAGTAGCGGCGAAATATTCGATAAGCGATAAAAATAATTAATGACAACTAGAGATTAGCGGACAGAGGCACTCGATTTGAGGAGTATTCGAAAAAATAATCTCGGCTCTCGAAAACCAGCGCCGGAGTGTTGCGACTATTACCTCGAGTGGGTCAATATTTTTGTGATAATTCATCTAGTTCGCTTGCGTGTGTTCGATACGATAATTCGCTTGATAAATGCGAAACAATGACTCATTCGAGTTTAGGAAGAAAAACTCTCATTGATTTTGAAGAGAGCAGTGAGAGAATACTCGATAGAGTAGAAAAAAATACAAATAATTGGTTTTAAACTATGTAAAGTCTATTCAGACTTACGTAATAATAAAAAAGAATAGGTATTAGAGTTTTTTTTATGATAGAGGAAAACAGGCATGAGGTTTGACGACTTGTTTCAATATTCCTACCACCTATTTAATGTAGAGATTACCAGCCTAAGTCCACCATGTTTCTGAATAATTATAAATTTATTAGAATAATGTTGGACCGGGTGGTGATCGAACCCACGCCCCTGTCTAAATGTCAATGGATTTTCTTAAATATTTAGCATCTTACAACATTGTTTATCATTCTTTTATCAATTTAAATACTTTCGCTTGCGTAAACCGATAGCCATGTTGTTTATTTGATAATCAATACAAATCAAGATGTCACCGGCTATCTGTTATACGCGGATAAAATATGTCATACAAGGAAGATCACCCCTTTGTAGTATGCGTGATCTGCACGTTCAATATCAAATTCATCGCGTGCGCATATCATGATCATATTTTTGTTAATGATAAAGTAAGTAGAAATAATTGTTATATATTGAATATCTTTTGTTTTATCTGTTGATGTTTGTTTAAATAAAACACTTTAACGGTTTAAAACGCGATATATATACGAAACGTTGGACCGTAGTTAAAATAATTAGAATTAATATGTTTCGTATTTTAAACCGTTAAAGTGGGTTTTTTTTATTGTCTCTCGCGTAAACTACAAACAGTATTAATGTTAGTTTTTTGTACTGTCACGGAAACAGTAACACATAATGTGTATTCAGTGTTGCAGTTTTAAATAAAATAAATATTAATAATTATAAATTAATTTACCTGTATCATGTTGGTCAAGCGATAGCCACGGTTGATGATGTCTCAAAAGCTCGTGGGAATAATTGTGATGAGGCGCTGGGTAAGGCGGAAGGTCCAAGGGACAACCGGTGATGGAACTTTGCGATGGTGTATCCAGACCCTTAGCCTCGTTGAGACCGAGGATATCTGATATTTGGAAACCAGGTCTTTGCCCTGGCATTTTCATACTGTCCAATAATCTGGAACAAGAATATTAAGATTATACTTACAAGAAAACAAAATGAAATTAAAGGATTACCTTTCAATGTCTACGTATCTTTTTAATGTCTACATAAATGTCCTCCAACGTAAAACTATTCTTACGATTAATTAGGTATACCATCAAGCAAGTGGGATTCGAACTCAAACCTCTCGTGATTCACGCGCAAGACGATGATTAACTATTGAACCACGAAGGCGATCAAATAAGATAAAACGTTTGATTATTGTAATGCTACTTTAAAACAAAGTATTATATTCCAATCTAAGAAAGTGGTATTACAGACGTCGGTAAATAAAAAAAAACCCACCACCAAAATATGCTCGACAGTTCCCTATTCATAGTTCTTCAAAGTAGTGTCGACAATGAATAGTATGTTTAAAAATAATACATATCTGATAAGACATAAGAAGTAAGTGACGATGGCAAAATAGTTGCTATGTTCTCAGCATATTTTCCCACGGTGTAAATAAATATCTCTCAAATTCGTTCTTATTAATAACAAATCAATTAGTTTTAAAATATATTTTATTAAGTATCTATCGTTACATCGTTACATTACGTCGTACAGAGCTGGTTTCCAAATTAACAAACAGCTTCAAATAAAACACTTCAACGGTTTAAAACTGGATTAGTTGAATTTATTTTAAAATTAAAGTGTTCTATTAAAATGTGTACTAAATACTGTCTGTAGTTTACGCGAGTTAAAACTAATATATATATTGTTTTAAACAGTTAAAGTGTTTTATATAGATGTGTATTATTCGCGTAGCCTAAAGTGAAAGCCCGTTTCCCCCTCGTGGGGCATGGGGTGAAGACATTTCTGTGTCGTTTCACTGATCCGTTCTTTTAAACGGGCAAGTAGTTGATCAGACTTCCGTGCCCTCCCCGACCGAAATAATTTTATGTTTCCCTGGTATTCGAACCCAGGACCTCTCGCGCTTGACGCAATGCTAGGCAATACGTATAACCATTTAACTACAGAGGCGGTCACAAACGCCTACTTGCTACTAAATACCTACTGGATGGTACTGTAAACAAAGTTGTACTTTAAACTTTACCTACCGTAACAATATCTAAAAAGATATCTCTGACACAATCTTAACTCTAAGTTCCAAGTGACGCAAAAGAATAGTATTTATCCTATAGCTCTATAGGATTATTCTACATTTTCCATACTTTCTCCTTTTTTCTTCCATAATATTTTTTAATTTATTTTTCTTCTCTCATTTTCTTCTTTCGTTACCTTTCATGCTCAAAGGAAATATCTTCCCTTTTACAAAAATCGTTACTGATTATTCAATGATTATTTAATCAGTATATATTTTTTTAATGATAGGCCAAATAAAATGTATGAAACTATAGGAAATCTATGCATCTTACTTTACAGCCAAATTAGTTGAAATATTGTTTTGTATCGCGTTTTCATTTTTTGCTCTACAGCTACAAGTGGTCACCACAAAATACTAAATTCCACGAATGCATCCACGCTTTGTTAGCTAAGCACCTCTCCAGAAAACGTGACTCCTATAAAGGAATGGTCACATTGAAAAGGATCTACAATGTCTATTAAAATATCAAAATTACACATAGACGTGAAACGTTCCCGCGGCCGTACGTGACGTGTTGAATGGGCGGCATTACAAGAGCTTTAGCAGGTTGTAAGACGAGATGTAAACACGACTATTAACAAGATTATACTAACAGGACTAATATATTGTCGCACATCACGATTTTGAGTTAGGATCGTCACGAGGGAGAGACAAAACAAGACATTTTAACACAGAATATCCGTTATAAGTGGTCTTTTCTAAATCCATTGTCTATACCTATTTATAAATGAGTATAATAAAAATTAAACGTTTAATCTAATATTGTTAACCTTGGATTGTAATAATAATAAGATTTTAAAGTAATTTAAAATACATAAGCAATTGATATTAAGGCTTAAAATTAATTTTAGTACTCCGCGCTTATAAGCTACCTAAAATCCGACGCATGATATATTTTTAACATGTATAGTATCTACTATTACACCATTGTCCACATCATTAAAAAGCTTTATTACTTCTTATCAACGAAATCACAGAAAAGGAATGTAGCTGCAACAGCCCCTCACTATTCTCTATGACAAAGTAGTTAAGCTCACCCGGGAAAAGCGGATCGGAAAGCCGCCGGGTACAGAGCCGGCAAGAAAGCCGGTCCCCATGGCGGCAGCAAGATAGGGCTCCAAGCCAGCAACGACGCTGGCGGCAGCAGCGGCGGAGTCCGCACGCTCTCACCCTCCTCGCACTTCATCTCCCGACCGGGAGAGCTCGCCTTCGGGATAATTTTGAAAACCGGTACCACACACTCGCGTGAACACGTGCTACGCCTCGAGACGTCGCACCCGCACTAAACAACCCTCGAGTGGTGCTCGGGGTGAAGAACACCCCGCACCGCCCTCGACAGCCTACTCAGATCACTGAGAGGGTGCTTCATTCGGGAGCACCAATCGCACGCGGCTACGCGCTGGGCGGCGCCAATTTCGACCAATAGAAGCCTAGCGAAAGCCTTACAAAAAAAGTTGAGTATACACTCTATAAAGCTTTCGACGTAGAATGTTACGTTATGTCGCTTTTGTAATGAGTGCGCGCGTTAATCCCATTGTTGAGGTCGGGTTCGTTATGGACGCCGCTCTAAATGCCTCCGATAATGATTTTCATTTAGTGTCCTAATGGGCTCGTGTTAGCGTTTTTTAGACGAGTTCAATATTTAACGCGTGATTTACAGCGGAGACAATCTCATAGAGACATTGCAATGCAAAAACTAGATCGAAAGTTAAAAATCGTGATTATCTAGTATCCTAATTGCGTAATTAATTTAGAATCAATATGTATTGAAACTTACATTTTTAATATTTATTTATTAAAAGTCACACATCCTTACATAATAATCATTCAAACATGAAAGTGAGTTACAATAATATTTTTACGAAGGCTGTCGAAGCACTTTATATGTTAACAACACGGTGATTTTAGTAAAGGCGTCCATTTCTAACTTTGAGTGGTACCTGCCTACTAGTACAGATATCTATTCTCTAAGTAATTACCATGAATATCGTTACAAACTACAAAATCCGATGCAGGTGTTTTACGATTCATTACAAGAATCTAATTCAAGACGCGACTGAAACATGTGTATTTACTTAGCGCATTGTCACTTGGAAACAATAGCTGATACCTGAATGAACTCCGGAGTAATCAGGCTTTTATGACTTGCACATGTGCGCAGACGCATTGTTTTTTCGTTTGCACTTAAAGCCTATTATACTTTTGTTAAGTATTGAGTAAGGATCTTAAAGCGCCGTACTTGCATTGCAGGGATTTATAGATTTATTGACTAGAGATTTAATAAACATCAGATTTACAAGAATGAAATAAAATCATTTTTTGGACTTCTTAATATATTATTAAATTTTCATTTATAGAATCATAAAAATTAAATGTAACGTTATAATATTTTGTTAGTATACATTATTTATTATCAGTAACAGAATATTTGTTGAGAAAAACTTAAATAATTTACACATGACGGCATTATATAAATTAAAAGTCGATTTTAGATTGAAGAAAATTTATGACACGGCTACCACAACTATATACAAACATTGTACTTGGTTAAAGCAACAACACGGAACGCTGTAGACGCCGGTTCAAGTCGTCGTGTCATAATTATTTTTAATTTTAAATAGAATTGTTATTTATAGAATTTTGATTTCTAGTTAGGTATATTGCACAGATTATACAAAACAACGTTACTATATGTCGTTCCAGTGTTAAATTCACGCAAGGGTCTGTTCGTGAATTAGTACATTCTGTGGTGAAAAATCGGAAACCGACATATCCTAAAACTAACATTACTGCATTAGGGGAACAAAAAAAATATCAATTTTGTTCCGGTCAGGTAGGGCACAGAATTCTGATCAACCACTTGCCTCTTTAAAAAGAACGGATCAGTGAAACGGACACAGAAATGTGTTCGCCCCATGCCCCACGAGGGAGAAACGGGATTTCACTTTTCACTACTAAAAATACGAATTGATTATCATTTCTGATCTGATATAAACATTTGCTTTGAAATTGAATTCTAGTTACTATTACTTAGTATGTGTAACGTTATTAACTACTAAGTAATATTATATCTATAGTACAGTCACAAAAATCGGACGTTTTATTAAAAACAATATAACATAAAACATGTAGGTAAACCACACATAGTTTGCAAAAATTTCACTAGAATAACGCTTTTAACGATATACACTAAAAATCTATTTTAAATTAAAAAAAAAATACGACTCAGGCAGGACTCGAACCGGCTTTCACGGCGTTCCACATAACACACGGAGTAACGGCACGTTTGTTGATGCCGGTTCAAGTCCTGCCCGAGTCGTAATTTTTTAAAATTTATAATTGATTTTTAATTTCTCATCATTGTGCAATAACTTTCCTTATCTGTTATTTAATTCTTATGACCTCATGTTAATGTTAAAATTATATGACGGGTAAGCATAGGCAAGTTCTATCGCATGAAGTAATCCACATTACTTTGAGGCCGACTATTAGGACAATAAAAGGCTGAATATTATGACGATGCACTATATAATCTTTTCTTCAGTTATATTTGTTCCACGTGCATTATTATCTATACTAATATTATACGGATATAGAGTTAGTTTGTTTAATTTCAGGAACTACTCGGTCGAATTGAATTTACGTTTCAGTTAGTGCATTTATCAAGGAAGGCTTTATGGTGCAACAAATAGGTGCGAAGAAACGGTTTGAAATGTGGAACAAACGGATGTGGAAAATACACATCTTTGAGGGCTTCCGTTGCGCGCGCTGCGATAACGCGTCAAGAAACCAAAAAAAATTAAAAAACATAAAGATATAAAGAAACGTATTCTTTACATTATTTCACCACGCCACGATTTTAAGATTT